AACTGATACCACCCATTCCTCAACTGACCCTTATTTCAGACCGAACAGCTCTTACAGGTTGATTCACTGTTGAAGGTGGGAGTGACTGCACCAGATACGCTCCCAACAAGCACTGTGACTTCCGCAGAAGTCCAGCTGGTTATAATGAGGGCAGTTCTGAAACTCAGGAACCAATTACAAATCCCATCTTTAAGAGACTAAGGCAAATTGTTGTCAACAGATAGTTGTCATGGTGACCTATCATGCAGTGAGACTCGACAATAACTTCTGTCACACAGCAGCACAGACATGAGAATTTCAGCTCCTTCTCAGAACAGGTTTCCATAACAAATCCCACATCAAGCCAGTGGGAAAAAAAAACTATGATGTCATAGTTACATCAGAATTGTGGTAGTGAAGTTTATTTAAGGTGTAGTTTTATAGTTGCTGTCAGAATACGTAATTAGCTACCCTCTACGCTACAGACATCAAATTGTTTTTATAAAGTGTCTTTCACCAGCTACCAGTGTAAGCTCTGTACACAGTATACAATACAGTAAGTAAATTAGTGTGTAACAGGTATTTACAAAATTTCTAATGGAACATCTTCCTCATGGATGATAAAGGTGTGATCTCTGTCTCACACCACTGAGGGCTGATATATCACTGAAAGATTCTTCCACTTTTCTAATTAAACCTTTTTCCTTTGGGGCTTATTGCTGTAACAAACAGTTCTTTCCAGACGCTATGCGGACAACACATTCCAGAATTGTGAGGAAACACTGGGGAAAAAAAGATCACACAGGAATACGGGGATGAAAACAGAGGGGCGTGTCCAAAGTGCGCTGGTGCACGGGGGAGGTGTGGCCGAGGCAAACAATCCAAAAAACGGGCAAAGTCCAAAGCCAAGCGGTCCATCCAAAAACCAGGTATTAAAAATAGGTGCCGGTTCGGGACCGGCGGGGGGAACAGGAACAAGAGCGGGAAGCTAAAAACATAACGGAGGCAGGCGCAACCAGATCCGGTCCACGATGTGGAAATCAGATGCAGAGCCGTGATTAATGTCAGCGCCTGGCTTTTAAGGTGGACTGGGAACAGGAGACAGGTGCACAAAATCAAGTCCAAAGTGAAAGGGCCGGAGCGCCCTTAAGGGGGGAGGGACTCCAGTCGTGACAATTGCTTGTGTAGATGAGGTCTCTCCTCCCTTAAGTTTCCTGTAGTGTGATCATTTCCACAGTCTCAGGATAATCACTCCAGCGAAGAGAGCAGGTTATCACTGTTAGAAAAATTGATCCCATTCTCCATACTCTTATCTAACAGTTTTAGGTGTTTCCTGAAAAAACAGAAGTAGTCTGCTCAGGCAGTGGTATATTACAGGGTCCTCTACTATATCCATCCATCTATTTTCAAACCACTTTATCCAATTCAGGGTCACCTAAACCTATCCCAGCAAGCAACAGGCAAGACAGGATACAAGGGCAGACAGACACAGACATGCACTCACACCAGGGCCAGAAACTTATTAACCCTCCTGCATGTCTTTGGACTGTGGGAGACAACCAGAGCACCCAGAGGAAATCCACACAAACAGAAGGAGAACATACAGACTCCACACAGACAGTAGCCCAGGTCTGAAATTGAATGCAGGGCCCCAGAGCTGCGAGGCTGCAATGTTGACCACTGTGCCACCATGCCACAAAAGAGTCTTAGTTTGAAAAATGACACTTACTTCCCCATTCCAGCCTGGCGCCTGTATTTCCGGATCTGAGACAGAAAGAAGAGAAATCCAGTCAGTAGCTGCAGGAGGTCTGACTGGAGATACAGTGGGGACACTATGTGTAAGATCTGCAGTCAGCTCCCTTTCAGACTTCAGACAGGCTCAGGGCTGAAACACAGGCTCTGAGTGCTGGAGCAGCAGTGCTGAACCCCAGTCTGTGCACTTCCACTCCCAGCAGGAGGCTCTTCAGGAGGAGCTGGGAGTCCTGGGAGGATGAGGAGAATGTGGGTGGTGGGGGCGGGGGTACAAGGAGACGGGAGGGGGAGAGGGAGGTCGGTTGTGTGTTGTGTACAGATCAGCACTAAAGCACAGAGACTCACCAGGGTGACAGCAATAGCTGTTATGGTTAACAGACCCAGAGTCACAAACACTCCAACCAGACTCTTCACCCTACCTGGAAAAAAGGAAAACACAAAACTGACATAGCCCATTTTCAAAAGAATCAATTTAGTTGAGGATCTCAGATACCAGCAGCAAGAACGAATGAGTCTTAAATACAAGGAACTGTTGGCAAAGAAGTACAGCAGAAATACTGCTTATTTCTTATCTTTTTCCTTTACTGTATGTTTTCACTGAGGTACATTTTCTTAAATGTTAACTGTAAGTGTTCTGACACATTAGAGCTTGAAAGTGGCTACAGCTGGGTTCTGGAGAGAATCCACTCCCTCTTTTCACTGATCCAGGACTCACAAGCAGGAATAATAAAGAGTAAACCTACCGTTAGAGTCTGCTGCTGGGTTTTTGTCCTCTGTGGAACTGTCAGCTAAAAGATTGATAAAATGTAATTAAAATAAAGGTGCACACTGTTTCTTCACTCTGCCTCAGATATTACAGTTAAAAAGTATTAAATCTTTCATCATGGGCCCTGTGACAGGTCCTGAGTCACTGAGTCAGTCTGAACAGGACAGGACACAGCCCAGCCCCCCAGTGTCCACTCATCGCTGGGACAGCAGGACAAGCCAGGGACTCAGGGAAATTAAACTGGACAAAAAGGACAGAATGCAACAAGGGACACAGATAATCCAGACTTACATATGGATGAATCCTTAGGTGGGATTTGATTTTCAGTGGAGGTGGTATTCAGGACTGCATTGTAAACACAAGAACATAAGAAAGGTAACGTGAAAGATCTGTCTTGATCCAATGATGGATTAGTAGCACATTCGTCACAAAATCTGTCTTCTGCCAAAAGCTGCCAGTGTGTTGCTTCACAGTTTGGCCCAGTTTCAATCCCACCCCTTTCAAAGCTATCCACTTTTTAGACTTCAAATATTCATTTGTTGATTGTCAGTCAGGACTCTTGTCCTTTGCAGAGCTGGAAGTTCTGTTTCCTGTGTTATTTTTTCAGTGCATTTTCAGAATTTTAAAAACCTATAAAATTCCTATAACAAGACTAAAGCGATTTTGTTCCTTTAATCTTAAGTGTGTAACATTGCTTGCATAGAAGCAGTTATTCTTGTTTTTTAACTGCTGTTCAGTTGTTCCCTACTATACTACCAATGATGAAAATGACCAGATCTATGACCAATGACTTAATAACCAATTTATCACCATTTATATTCATTTATGAATAAGCACTGTTGCAGTTCGTGTTTCTGAGACGGAGACCAGTTCAGTTTCCTATTTTGGGTATTTTTCCCCTTCAACCCACAGACATGATGGAAAATGACTTGTTGACAGAACCAGGAACAATTCTGCCACCCCTGGACATATTCTGGTGAAAGAGAGCTTTTCCTCAACTGGAGGTGAAGGGGAGAGAGCAGGCAAGCAGCACTGTGACTCCAAAGACAATATCTTACCTTCAGTGATTGGGGTCACTGTGGTTGTCTTGAATCCTGTAGACGGAAGATCTGTATTGAAAAAATAAACCATAGCACTGCATAAATGAAGACACTGCCAGACAGAAGGCTCAACGTCCTTCAAGAAAAACACAAACCTTTCTGTTTTTGAAAGCTAGCAAACAGAATCATGCCATGACATTTCAGCCTACAAGTCTCACTGCGTTTATATTTCTTCATTGGAATGAAGAGCAGATCCCTTGGTGTCCCAAGCACTTCAGCAAGAGGAGGAAATTCTGGGAGACCCCATTGAGAACATAGGTGTTATACAGTAGAACAGATATTTAGATGGAACACCTGACCGTTCTTAAACAGCCACAGTACCTTAATAACTGTAAGTAGTCAGACCCCCATCTGAAAATCAGCACCCCCACTTGAGTGACACCCTCTGTGTGTTAGTTGGAGGCATGAGTGACCCCTGTCCTGTCATCAGCATCTCCTCACCCTCGGCAAGATCCTTTCAGCTTAAGACCATAGAAACCAGGGAAGGACACGGGTAGAGGTGACACAGACTCTTACCTCCGGTGGGTCTTTGGTAGGTCAGGTGACAGTACTGTGTGTCTTCACTAAGGTCCAACCAATTGTTTTGATCACAATACAGTGCAAAAGGCTTCTTTGCCCAGCATCTGACTTCAGCAATCTCTTCAGTGCAGTATATTCTTTTGGAAGCTGAAATTGTAAAACAAACATTTTACAACACTGCAGCTGCCTTTTCCCCAGACTCCTGTCTTCTTCTCCACACCATCAGCCCCATGGCTCTAACAGCACAGGGGGGACAGGTACAGCTCTTGCTGATAGCAGTGCATACCTAGCAACACCAGGCAACACCAGGCAACACCAGGCAACACCAGAGTCCCCTGACTGACTGCTCACCCTGTCACACTTCAGCTCTTTGAGAATCTGAGTCCAGAGAACCAGCGATCTGTCACACGACAGCCTGCTTTGAGTTGGGTCTCCACTGGTTGAGAATTAAAGACCTCGTAGGGATTGTCCACACCTGTGTTCCTGCTGCACCAGGACAAGCAGACTCATCATGATGGAAGAGATGGAAGATGAAGATTTCACACTTACACACCTCCTCTCACAGCTCTCTGCACGTATTATATTCTTTAGGCTGGAGTGTCTGATTATTACAATCTGCCAAGAGGAAACGTACCTTCCTTTCTGAATCTGACACTGCATGCTAGCTTGTCTGGGGTATCCAGCTGTTTGCACTGGCCTGGCTGTGCACCACACTCCTTGAAGGACTGACAGAAAACTCCAGGAGGGTCCATGGTTCTGCATGATATGTTCTCAGTGTGTTCAGGGACACAGAGCCCTGATCCTGTGCAGCAGCTCAAGGCTGAAAAGAAGCAAACAAGAAAACTCTTATCGATTTGTCTTAGTACAAACTATACTCTGGAATACGTCACAACTCTGACAGCAAATACCAGGTGAATAGACAATGAATAGGGTAAAGGAAGTCTGGAAATCTGGACTGGAAAGCTGAAGACAAAAATTCTAAATTCCTTGGTCACTGTGTTAACAGACTTAAAAAAAACTGTGCAGAAAGCATATATCATCTAAAGCCTCAAAATCATTGGCAAATTTAAAGTGCTCATAAAACAGGAGGCACTTCTTTACCTAAAGGGTTGTAGGGGTGGGAAGCAAGCTGCCCTGGCATGCTGAGGTCAATAGAAACAGGACCCAGACATTTAAGAAGCAGCTGGACGAGATCCCGAAATCAATCAGCTATAAATCCAGTGTACATTTCAGTTAAATTTTACAAACTTGCAGCATACTTCAAGGGTAGGTGATCAGGTTTTCATCCCACTGCATCTTTTGATTAATTATTCAGTTTTTGATCTGAGAAATGCATAGAGAATTTGCAATAATCCATCCCCAGGGAATTGTAGTTTATTGTCCATGTGAATAATCCATATAAAAAAGAAACTTATAACATTCTGAAGGGAACAGTACTGGCTCTTACCAGCAGCTGATATGCAGTAGAAAAGCAAATTCCTGACCAGTGTGCTCTCCATTCTCTGTCTGTTGAAAGAAACAATACCTTGTTACACATGAAGCTGTTAAACTGAAATGAGTTTTTCCAGCACAATCAATAATATGGGCATGACAGTATATAGTCACTTTGTTTCATCAGCACAACAATTATAAGTATCACCTTGCACTTTGCATAAATTAGCAAGAGCAATAGTTAAGTTGAGAAATAATTTTGAATAAAATGTAACAAACTCAGACTACAAAGTTATACTTGTGATCTGCTGCGAAAGATCTATACTGAGGCCTAATATAAGCACTGAATTAGTCAAAGTCAGCTGTTACTTACATATGAAATACATTTCTTCCTTTTAGATGGTGTGCCTGTGAATTGCACTGTTTTTGTAAATGTTTTGTAAAATGCACTATTTTTGTAAAATTAAAGAATAAACCTGAATCCTTACAACACAAAGCAAAATTGTTACTAGAGCATTGAGTTTTTAATCAATCCTTAGAACAGCCTTATTTATTTGTAAAATGGCCAATACTGGAAAATAATTTTCCCTGTCTTGCACAGCTGGAAATTTTTCAGTATTGTAATTAGAAAAATAATCACACTGCAGTTTATAATGGCTAAACTTAACTTAAGCACATCTTAGGACAAACACAACTGTTCATGAAGCTGCTTACCTAAAAACTAATCCCACTGGGACAAATTCTCTGCAGCTGGTGGTGGTTTGGTTCAGTTTAGGTCTCAACCGTCACACAATCCCAGTTGTCCCACACTCAGGATTCCAGTCTTCCTGTAGCTGAGTCTCGGGGCTGCGTCTCTGTGGGCAAGTCCTGACAGGCAGACGGAGTGGGCGATTCTGTTAGTGAGGCGGAAGTAACTCAATTCAATTCAACTTTATTTGTCATTATACTTACACGGGTGCATAGTATAGTGAAACGTGTTTCTCATTAGTCTCTCAGGTGCAATATATATATATAGGAACAAGTAATAGGTTTATTCCATGCTGAAAAAAAGAAGAAAGAGAACACAACGTTTCGGCCGTGGAGCCTTCTTCAGGTGTGAGAGAGACAGGGCAGTAGGCAAAGGTAAAGTAGCGGAAGAACAAAGGTTGGGAGGGAGGAGGAGTGAGAGGCGGGAGCAGGGGACAGACAGAGAGGCCAATCAAGAGGTGTGAAGTCAGAATGGGTGCAGAGAGGTGTGAAATGAAATTTCCAATGAATGGAGAAAATTTAAAAGAACAGTAATCTGTCGTTAAGGGAAGGGAGAATGTGTGATCCCAACTGCAGAATAATTTTAGTTTCGGTGGTCTTTCTGATGTATGAGTTCGGAAAACCGTCTTTGAGAACACAAAATATATATATATTGAGAATATATATATATAGAACAGCAGACAAGACAATAGACAGTAATACAATAACAATAACAGTGTTAACAACAGTATGGTGCCAGTGCAAAATTGTCAAAAACTGTGCAAATACAGTACGCAAACAGAGAAAAGTATACAAACAGGACAAAACAGTGCAAAAATAATATGGTGAATAATAAATAGTACAACTAGTACAGTTTTAAGTACAATTTCGGCTTACATTCAGTTGTCGTGTATGCAGTGGTGTAGGAGTACAGTCATTGTGGGTACAGGAAAAGGGGAGGAGAGCTCATAGTATGATGGGAGGGAGTGGGGGCGTCACCAGCTTGACGGCTCCGGGGAAGAAGCTATTTCGGAGTCTAGCTGTGTGCGACTGGAGTGACCGGAACCTTCTACCTGATCGTTTGGGGATGAGCAGGTTGTGACTTAGTTGAGTGGACTCAGTCATAATTCTGGTGGCTTTTTTCAGACTCCTGCTGTTGTAGATTTCCTGGATGGATGGTAAGGCACTGCCGATGATGTGTTGGGCAGTTTTGACCACCCGCTGCAGTGCCTTACGGTCGGATGCGGTGCAGTTCCAATACCAGACTGTGATGCAGCTGGTCAGTATGCTCTCCACCGTACATCTGTAGAAGCTGGTGAGGATCCGTGGATGCAGGCATATTTTCTTCTGCCTTCTCCGGAAGTACAGCTGCTGTTGTGCCTTCTTGATGAGACTGAAGGTGTTGAGTGCCCATGTGAGGTCCTTAGAGATGTGAACACCTAGGAATTTGAAGTTATTCACCATCTCCACCGCAGACCCTTCGATGTAGATGGGGGAGTGGACTTTTCCTTGTCTCCTGAAGTCAACGATCAGCTCTTTCGTTTTGCTGATGTTGAGACATTGGTTGTTGGTGCGGCACCAGTCTGCAAGTTGTTTTATCTCCTCCCTGTAGGCAGTCTCATCGTTGTCAGTGATCAGGCCCACGACGGTAGTATCGTCGGCATACTTGATGGTGGTGTTTGTGCTGAACTTGGCAGTACAGTCTTGAGTGACAGGGGAGTAAAGCAGAATAGTAGCAGTGACAGCAGGAGTAGCATCAGTTTCTGAAGGTCTTGACTACAAAGCATCATTAACTATTTCTTTTTAATTGTATGTATAAATTCTATCTCATGCAAAGAGCTCTGTCTAAGCAATCTCTGAACTGCAGGAAGACAGAGCATCGGGCACCACAGAGCTCCAGACCTGTGGAAATGGGTCCCCTGAAGTCAGGTGTTTCAGAAACTCAGGAATGACAGAAGAACCTGGTTAAATAACAAGCGGATTCATGAAGTCATCACTTAGCACTGGAGAAGTAGGGCTCAGCTGGAACAGGGCTGAGAGCCAGCGGGTATACATTCTACCTCTGGCACAAGGCTCTGAGGGGCAATATCTGAACTGCATGACCACAGAGCTCCAGGACCGCTGGTCTCTGGGTTTGGTCATTGCTGTCCCAAATGGGCAGACAGGTAGACAGATCACGGATAACTCAGCAAGAGGATGTCTGAGTAGAAAACTGTTAAAAACTCCATTAGCAGAGCCAGGGTGGTAAATAAGAACAGTGCAGAGGAAAAGTTTTAACCTTATGCTTTTATTGATTACAGGTTCAGTGGCAGAGGTCATGCAAATCAGAGTGGTCATTCATTTCATTTTTTATTAACATGTTATTATACAAGAGTCAGTTCACAACAGGCGTCCCCAGTCCTGGGTCAGTGTGTCTGCAGGGCTGTCCAGTCCTGGTCCTGGAGACACTGGTCAGTGTGTCTACAGGGCTGTCCAGTCCTGGTCCTGGAGGGTCAGTCAGTGTGTCTGCAGGTTTTCTAGGTCTCTTTAAAGCACCAGCACTGGAGACCTGAGTGATGTGGTTCAGCTGGTCCCAATTAAACCAGTAGAGAGCTGATTCAGGTCTTTACAAGCACCAGTCGGACTGACAGTCTAGACACACCAGCCTTCCAAGGGTAGACTGCAGACCCCTGGTTTTTATCTTATACTGAGCTCACTGTCAAAATTTGACAGACGGGGAGAGAACAACGCAGCTGGAGGACTTACTCCAGTGCTCCAGCCCCTCTGAGCCACCGCGCGTCCTCGACAAGGAGGTGGAGAGCCCAGGGCACCGGGCAGCTGTCCGGACTGAGGGCCCCGCAGGTCTCGGGGTCGCCCAGGACCCCAGAGCGGTGCGAGGGGTGGGAGGAGAAGCTGCGCCAGCTCCAGGAGGCAGAGCGGTAGGCCCGTCCCTCCTGTTCTCACGGCTGCAGCCAGGACATGTTCTCATCGATGTGCGTTCAGGAAGCGGGTTCCTGGGTTAAGGTGACAAGCCTGTACTGGCAGACCTATCTCACGGTCTCAAAGCTGTCTCGTGTCTGGAAACCATGCCAGTGCTAAATTCAGCCCTGGAGCCGAAACTAAAGAAACTATAACCATGTTATACTGTACCTCTTAAAGAACTGGTTACTGTACTGTGCTTTTACCCTGATCTCACTGGGCTTTACCGCACAGTACTGTGCTTTTACCCTGATCTTACTGGGCTTTACCGCACAGTACTGTGCTTTTACCCTGATCTTACTGGGCTTTACTGCACAGTACTGTGATCTTACCCTGATCTCATGGGGCTTTACTGTATTATGATGCAGTCAACCTTTATAAGAGTGGCTACGTCATTTGCCAGCTTCTACTACTGTTCCTACTATCACTTCTGTTGCTGCTACTACTGCTGCTCAGGAAATCCCCTGACTGAACCCAAAGAAAATTCACTTCTCCTCAGGGGCGTCTGGCAGTGTTTTGCAGGCTGTCGGCCTGCTTGCCTGATGCTCTGCTCTGGTTTGCGTGGTGAGACGCGCAGGCAGGAAGTCGAGCCAGCAGGCAGGCAGAGACACACTGTTCGGTGAGCAGCCATCAGCACCAGAGAGAACAGACCCAGGCAGCGGAGGCTTTGCGGATCCCGGCTCCAGCGCTGTCCAGAGCAAAGCATGTTCTTCAGCGTCCTGCTCAGGACGCTGCTCTCCGTGACAGGTAAGAGGGGGACCTCGCAGATTAGGAGGGTCGATAATCAGTGTTTAGAGGTCGTGTTAATCTGCACCATTTAGGACAACAGGGGCCAAGTCCGGTCCAGGGACACTGGGGAGTGCGTCTCCAGGTTTTCTAGGACTCTTTAAAGCTGCTGGACCTTGAGCCAATAGGAAACTGATTTAGGTTGTTGGGAGCAGAGGTGGAATAAAAACCCGTACTGGAGTTCCCTTGAAGCAGCTGGACTCAGCCATGAAAGGAGGATCCCAGCAGGAAGATGAAGGAACTCTTGATTGAATATTAAAAACTCTGGCACCAGGCAGCAAGCCACTTTTAACAAGAGTGATTAACTCGCTAGCTCTAAAATTCTTTTCATCTTACTGAGAGTTAACGCAGCCCGGGGCTGGGGCTATACAGAGACCTTCAGCTCAGAGGACCTTTAATGAAGGATTAAGTGTAGTGTACGTTTGGAACACAGGAGAAAATAAAGTCACCAAAGATCTGCTGTTGGCTGAAAGACTGTGACATTGGGACACACATCAGGACAGAGCAATAAACAGAACCATGCATAACCACTTCCTCTTTGCCAGAATTAGTGGCCCCTGCAGTTTGAAGACTGCTTATCGCCACCTGGGAATAGACTCTAGTGTGTCGTTGTGTCAGTAATACTCTAAACTAGGGTTTGTCATTAACATGACAAGAGCAGACTTACACTAAGAACTAGTTTCACATTTATATAAAAATAGACTATTCTCAATTCCAACAAATGTTTTCATGTATTTGTGTGTTTTATTGAAGTCATTTGCTACCTCAAAACCTAAACATCTGTCACCCTGTTCTTGAACAGCCACAGCATCTTCTGTTATTCCAGCTGAGCTCTTAATGACTTAATAGGATCCATCAACTGCTTAAGTAGGAGGAGTTAACATATTTCCCTATTCTGTGCTCATTGAGTATTTAAAAATGAGCTGCCCTAGAGTGTTGTCATGGGGCTAATATATCCCACGAGTCACCTGGGCCCATCCTTGACTACACAGCTGCCAAGGTGTGGCTGAATCTGACACCTGCAGGCCTCACCTGTCCTTCTCAGCGCCTGTTCTCGGGGAAGTCTGGGTGACCCAGTGGCCCGCGGAGGTGCGCCGTCACGTCGGCGGCTCGGTCACCTTCTACTGCAGCGTGGGGTCGGACGGGGAGGAGGTGGCCGACTGCGTGCCCTACTGGTACGTCCCCGACCCGGAGTCTTCCCCGGCCGGTTCTGGAGGTGAGCAGAGCCAAACAGTACGCTGGGCCGCCTCCGCGTGCTGGAAGATCCGGGCAACTACACGTTCCTGAGCCTCCAGGGCCTCCAGCTGAACCACAGCAACACCTTCTACTGCCGGAGGAGCTGCCACGTCAGTGGAAAGCGCTTGGGCTTCTGGGGGACGGGCAGCACTCTTAACGCCACAGACCCGCCTGTGGCAGCATGGGACACGGGTCAGTAACCTCCACTTTCCCTCGCTCTCCGGCCGGAAGACAGGGCGGTCACCAGATTCCAGTGGT